TGTCAGAGGCAGTGAGATTGGCACAGGTTAGAGCAGGGTTTAGGGCTGTTGTAAATAGGGTTGCTATGAGTCGCAGGTGACTCGATGGCACATAACAACAACAACAGTGTTGCTGTAAGAGAGAGATTAAATTTTTTTTTCTAATAGACAAATCTACCCACACCAAAGAGAACATTTTCTTGAACATATGTTCAAGTACAAACAACCGTGAATGATAATTTGGCCATCTTTCTGATGAACACACACTTGTTACCATTCACTTCATAATTAACAGTAAGTTCTTAAGCTTAAGCAAGACCCATATACAGCTATGAAAATGTACCTAATTAAAATTCTGTTGCACCAATTCCACTTGTTTAGTCTGTTGCAAACCAGAGTATTAAATATGAGAACAAACAATAAAAAGCAAGAAAACTCACCTCTCATTGCCATCAAGTTAGAACTGTTGACACTCTAGACTATTTTCAAAGGCTCTAAATGGCATCAAAGAAGATCACCCATCTTTCATGGAGTGGATTCAAATTGCCAGAGAGACATCACTTTTGGATTACAATGCAATTCCCTACAGATCATTTGATTAAATAGATTTCAGCTTTATACAGGCTCCAGCTTTCACATATTTTATTATACACTTAAATCCACTTCATAACACCCCATAGTATTATCCCTTTGCCAGATGCCAGAAACAATCCAGGCATCAAACAGGGAAAAGTTAAGAATGTCCAGATTACTAGAATGTAAAACCTCCCTTTTCTTTGTTGTTGCTGCTATGTGCTGCTGAGTCAGAACCAACTCATAGTTCATCTTCCTGTGGGTTTTCAGAGACTTTAAATCGATCATATGGAGGAGACTGCCCATCTTTCTCTGGTAGAGTTGCTGGTGGATTCAAACTATCTGCCTTTGTGTTAGCAGCACAACTCCTTACCTACTAGGTCACCAGAGCTTCTATAATACAACTCCTTCCTTTATCTATCTACCTGCAAACTTCTTTCGACACCAGCAACCTGCAGTTGGTCCTGACTCACAGGTTATAGACCAAGTTGTCTAGAAGGTTGGCCTCATTTCACTCCAGGCACCAGGCACAATTTTGGAGGCCACTCTCTGATCAGTTGCTTATAATATACAAGTTCTTACTAATAATAATTTAGGTTTCACTAGAAGTTCTCATAGCGTACATTGAAAGTTCTATGCTTACTTTTATTATAAAAAAATGTTGTTTTTTGTTGTTAGGTGCTGTCGAGTCGCAGGCGACTCATAGCGACCTTATGAAGGAGAGTCCTTAACGCCTGGGTGCCTTTCATCTTCTCTCCAGGTTCACAGGGTTTTCGGAGGCAAGCTATTGTGGAAGTGGAAGCCACTCCTCCTTCCTAGATAAAAAGGTTCAGAAAGACAACCTACTGACTGGGCAAAAAACATTTGGCAATACCATCTCAGACAAGGGTCTCATAACAGAAGTTTACAGAATCCTACAGGGCCTCCACAAGACAAAAGACTGACAATTTAGTTGCAAAATAGACAAAAGACATGGAAAGACCCTTCTCAGAGGAAGATACTCAGATGGCCAAAGGACACATGAGTAAATACTCAAAGTCACTGGCAATAACAGAGATGCAAGTCAAACCACAACTAGATACCATCTCATACCAGTAACAGTGGCAAAGTTTGACAGCAAGTAATAAATATTGGAGAGGATGTAGACAGATAGTAACTCTTATACAATGTTGGTGGGATTGTAAAATGGTACAAGCACTCTGGAAGACAATTTGATGTTTCCTCATAAATAAAAATTCCATATGACCTAGCTACTCCACTGCTTGGAATATATCCCAAGAAAATTAGAAATAAGACACAAATGAAGATTTGCACACCAGTATGCATAACAGCATTATATTTACCATCACATGGAAACAGTCAAAACGTCCAACCACAACTGAATGGATTGAGAAATTGTGGTACATTCACAAATACACACATACACACATACACAGCATGTAGGAGCAATGATTTTGAAAATTACTGCCTAACTTGGAAGGGACTGGAGAGCATTATGCTAAGTGAACTAACTCAGTCGCATAAGGATAAATACTGTATAAGACCATTACTGTAGAAATGGAAAGATAACTAGTAAAACGGGATGAGGTCCCAAGGAGGGGGAGAGTAGGAGCAGAGGGGTGAGGATGGGCAGGGGGAAATCATAGATTCACACATTTTGATAGGGAGGGAGAGGAAGGGAAAGATCCAATATGAAAAACAATATATACAAACTTTGTAAGAAAACCAGTATAAAATGTATTTTAAAAAGTATACAGAACTAGACAAAGGCTATGAATCCCCCAAACACTAAGCTTCCATGTCCTCAAAGACATGTCACTCTACTAGCACATGGCTGTACATAGAACACTGTCAACCAGGGAAGCACGCCTGAACCTGGGAGCTCAGAGTTGTAATTGGGCTGCTTTGTATAGGTATGAGTGTGCCTATCATTGACCGTGTGCTTGAAATCAACCTCTAGCCACCTTTCCCTGGTGAAGAGAGAGGCAGATGCCATATGGCTCAAAACTCTAATCGCATGATTATTTTTTCTGGCATGAGTCATTTTGTTAGTATAAAAACATTAAGGGACCTACCAGAAGTCACCTTGTTAGCATACGCTATTACGTATAGTACAGGAGTTCAAAATTAATAACAAAATCACTCCAGTCACTTGGGGTATACCAGAGTTTAAAGGTTACCTCCTCAGGAAATGAGAACAAGGGCCAGACAAATTCTTTATTATATACCACCCCAAAGTGTGATGGTTCCAGGATCAAGTTCTGGAACTCTCCATAGGAATCCCTGATAGGGCAAAGCAAATGCCACTGTATCAATTCTTTCCTAGATCCTATTGACCAAGATAGGCTAGCTGAACAATAAAGACTCATGGCAGAGCAGATCAAACTTGGCCAGGTCCCACTCACAGAACACAACAGGAATCTTGAGGGCATGGAGAACAACAAGGGTTTTGTTGTTGGGTCGCCACTGACCCAGAGCTGACCCTCCAGCAGGTTTTCAGAGGCAGTTAATCACTTGAGAGGAGACTGACCATCCTTCTCTCATCATCATCTTTCTGGAAAGACAATATTTGCTGTTTTCTGCCAGATGCATACCGGCCAGATGTACTCATTGCATACAAGGTGATATGTTTATTAGGCTGTGTGTGTGCTCCTAGTTCTCAAGCTGAGAACTTTAGTTTCCCTTTTGATCATTTCGTAACTTATAATAAGCTTCTAACAGTTTGACTGGTTACACTTTCATATTATAGATGTAAAATGCTGTCATTGTTCTGTATTATCAGGTTGGATCAACTCACAGCTGACCACCAGTGGGATTTCAGAGGCTGTAAATCACATGGGAGCGAGACTTTTCTCCCATGGAGCAGCTGATGTATTCAAACCACCTGGTTGGCAATGTAATTTCTTACAACTAAGCCACCAGAGGTCTGTAAAATATTGTACTTTTAATTCAAATCAGTATATTTGAGAGAAGAAACACCGTGTGTATACAAATAGAAATATTAAACTGTTCATCACACATTATATAAAGCTGAAATTTTTCTCTATTTTTTAAAATATCTGTTCATAATCTATGCTATTTTGAGAAAAGAAGAAAAATATATGAAAATGTCCTCTTAGTTCCACAGGATTTATACTGGATGGCTTCCCTCGTACTCGGGAGGAGGTCCAGTTTCTAGGGGAGCATGGACTTTTCCCAGATGCTGCTGTTATTATCCAAGTTGATGACCAAGATATTTTTGATCGTATTCTTCCTTCCCATGTTGAAAAGTGGAAACTGAAACAAAAGAAAAAATTAGACAGGAAAAAATTCATCAAGGATTTAAAGACAAAAATAAGGGTAGGTATCCAGTGAAAACAACTGGGAATACATTCATTCACCATCAATTTTAAGTCCTAATGTGGTCTTTTTTAAAAAACGTAGCATTCTGGTTTTTATAATGCCACAGTCAGCATGAAATCAATATTAATCACTTATCAAGAATATTTAAAGAGCTGAAAATTCTTTGGAGACTTTGTGATTGGTTAGGGCAGTGCTCAGGACAGTGTTAGTATCTTCAGTACACATCAATAATCCTTACTAGATGGAGTGAAAGAAACAAAGAGATTGCAGATTCAGGATATAGACGTGTGCTACATATACTCTGCATATCTTTACTGGATAAAGTGATCTTTGTGCATGATGAAAGCACTAAGGAAATGACATTTTCCCAACTATGATTAAAGGGCATATAGTAAGAATGTAGTTTATAAAAGAAAAAACAATACAAACTTTGGTAAACTCTCACCCTCTTGAGACCAAAAGAATATCTCTAAGGGTTCATAAAATAATTTGATTCTGTTCAATTTTATAATTCTATCAACAAGTAGGTGCCTAACTTCAGCCAGTCAGAGCCGAGCCTCTGTTTTGACCTTTCTGCCGGAACGGATGTCGCGTGCTTTTGGCGTCTCTGATTACCTGGGAAGATAGGGTGGGTCTGCGGGGTCTGGTGGCTGTCCTGTGAGGACATTCAAGCTAAAGCTGAGGAAAATTAAACCAAATCCGAGGCAACCAAAATATGACCTTGAG